TTTAATTGTACACTTTAAATCAATACATGGTGTGAAAAGGTGCCAAAAGTCCAGTTTAGGTACAAAGAATATATATGCTGTGACATAATTTACGTACATTATAGAGAAGCAGTAATCAATACTATCTTATTTATAGATACATATAAATTTAGTAAAAATACAAAAATATGCACAATAATGATAATCACCAACTTTAGAGCTCTGGTACCTATACATGGGAGGGGGCAGGGCAAGAAAGAGTGGGAAGAAAGACATAGCTTTAATTTGTAACAAAAAATAAAAGTTTTGAAGAAAATACAATGGAATGCTAATATTGGCTACATTTGGCCTTTGCATACTTGGGAGTCTTGTGTCATTTTCTATATTTTTTTATGTTTTATATATATATTTTTATATATTTATGTATATTACATATATTGAAACTCAAAGTGAAGACAGGCAGACTTGAGTAAGTCATTTAGAGTCTCTGCATTTTAGAGAAAACCCTTAAGTAGGAGGATTTCCAAAGTCTTTTGTGAAGTGTTTTGTTCCTCTATGGAACATAGGATAACAGGGGGCAACAGGCATCACATTAATAGAGAGCAAGATTCCATTAAGACATTCTGGCTGGGTGTGGTGGCTCACATCTAAAATCCCAGCACTTTGGGAGGCCGAGGTGGGTGGATCATTTGAGGTCAGGAGGTCGAGACCAGATTGGACAACATGGTGAAACCTCACCTCTACTAAAACTGCAAAAATTAGTCTGGTGTGGTGGTGCACGCCTGTAGCCCCAGATACTTAGGAGGGTGAGGCAGGAGAATCACTTGAACCGGGGAGGCAGAGATTGCAGTAAGCCAAGATTGCACCACTGTACTCCAGCCTGGGTGACAGAGCAAGACTCTGTCTCAAAAAAAAAAAAAAAAGGCATTCTGTTTGTTTGGAAACTTAATGCTCTGTATTCTAAATCCAGGCACACCTTGGAAATACTGTGAGTTTGGTTCCAACCAATGCAGTAAAGCAAATATTCAATACTTGCATGTGATACAATTTTTTTGGCTTCCTATTAGATACAAAACTTATACTTACACTATACTGTAGTCTAATAAGTGTGCAATGATATTATGTCTAAAATTCTTTAAAAAATACTTTATGACTAAAAAAATGCTAATGATCACCTGAGTATTCAGTGAGTAATAATGATTTTGCTGGTGGAGGGTCTTGCCTCGATGTTGATGGCTGCTGACTGATCAGGGCAGTGGTTGCTAAAAGGTGGGGTGGCTGTGGCAATTTAGAATAAGACAGTGAAGTCTGCCACATTGACTGACTCTTTCTTTCACAAAAGATTTCTCATGCAGTGCTATTTGATAACATTTTACCCACAGTAGAACTACTTTCAAAACTGGAGTCAATGCTCTCAAAACCTGCCACTGCTTTATCAACTAGGTTTATGTACCATTCTAAGTCCTTTGTTGTCATTTCAACAATGTTCGTAGCATCTTCATGAGGAGTAAATTCTATCTCAAGAAACCACTTTCTTTGCTCATCCACAAGAAGCAACTTCTTATTCATTTGAGTTTAATCATGATATTGCAGCAATTCAGTCACATCTTCATGCTCCATTTCTAATTCCAGTTCTCTCGTTATCTGGAATACCTATCCCCTCCATTGAAGTCTTGAACTCCTCAAAGTCTCCATAAAAGTTGGAATCAACATATTTTAAATTCCTGTTTATGTGGGTAGTTTGATCCACTCCCATGAATCATGAATGTTCTTAATGGCAACTAGAATGTTGAATACTTTCCAGGAGGTTTTCAATTTACTTTGTCTGGATTTATCAGAGGAATTACTATCTATGTAGCCTTATGAGATGTATTTATTGAATAATAACTTGTGAGTCAAAATTACTCTTTGATCCATGGGCTGCAAAATGGATCAAAATGTAATTTTGTGTTAGCAGGCATAAAAACAACATTAATGTCCTTGTACATCTCCATCCGAGTTCTTGGGTGACCAGATATATGGTCAATGAACAGTAATATTGTGCAACAAATCTCTTTTTCTGAGAAGTAAGTCTTAGCAGTGGCTATAAAGTATTTAGCAAGCTATGTTGTAAACAGATGTGCTTTCATCCAGGTTTTGTTGTCCCATTTCTAGAACACAGGCAGAGTAGACTTTGGATTCTTAGGGTGGTAAATGAGAAATGACTTCAACTAAAAATAAGCAGCTGCATTAGCCCCTAACACGAGAATCATCCTGTCCTTTGAAGTTTCAAAGTCAGGCATTGACTTTTCCTCTCTTGCTATGAAAGTCCTAGATGGCATCTTCTAATATAAGCCTGTTTTATCTATAATGAAAATCTGTTGTTTCAGGTAGCCACCTTCATTAATTATCTTCACTAGATCTTCTCTGAAAAACTTTCTATGGCTTCCAAGTTAGCACTTGCTGCTTCACCTTGCACTTTTACGTTGTGGAGACAGCTTCTTTCCTTAAATCTTGTGAACAAACCTCTGCTAACTTCCAACTTTTCTCATGCAGCTTCCTCAACTCTCGCAGCCTTCATATAATTGAAATTGAAGAGAGTTAGGGCCTTGCTGTGGATTAGGTTTTGGCATAAGGGAATGTTGTGGCCGGTTTGATCTTCTATCCAGACCACTCAAACTTTCTCCATATCAGCAACGTGTGCTTTGCTTTTTTATCATTTGTGTGCTCACTGGAGTAGCAGTTTTAATTTCCTTGAAGAACTTTTCCTTTTATTCACAACTTGGCTGTTTGGTGCAAGAGGTTTAACTTTATGCCTGTCTCAGCTTTTGACATGCTGCCTTCCTCACTAAGTTTAATCATTTCTAGCTTTTGATTTAAAATGAGAGATGTGAGACTCTGTCTTTCACTTGAACACTTAGCAGTCATTGTAGGGTTATTAATTGGCTTAATTTCACTATTGTTCGTTGTGTCTCAGAGAATAGGGAAACCCAAGGAGATGGAGAGAGACAGGAGAATGGGTAGTTGGTGGCACAGTCAGAACACACATAATGTTTATTGATTAAATTTGCCATCTTATATGGACATGGTTCATCGTGTCCAAAAACAATTGTAACGGTAACATCAAAGAACACTGCTCACAGATCACCATAATAGATGTAATAAGAAAAAGTTTGAAATAATGTGATAATTACCAAAACGACAATTACACAGAGACATGAAGTAAGAACATGCTGTTTGAAAAATAGTGCCAATAGACTTGCTCAATACAAGGTTACCAAATGTAAAAAGTGCAGTATTTGCAAAGATCAGTAAAGTGACATGCAATAAAATGAGGCATGCTTGTACACATTCAATTACATACTCCTTTACACAATTCATTATAGTATTTGAAACTCCACTACTGTTTCTCAACCCAACTACAGGTATTACTGCACACAGTTTTTGATCACATCCTTTTGTCTCATTTTATACAGCTATAAAACAATGAACACATCTTTGCTGCATAGTAAGCTCATATTTTATGAATTATTCTAGGGCCTTCATTTTTCTTGGAGATAATTCTAATTCAGTCTGCCTCTTTCCATAAAATGATTCAATAGCATTTCATAGAAATCAAGAAAAGAATATTTCTTCATAGTGCAGCACCAGGACATTTTTCTATCAGTCTTAAAAGTTTTCAGGAATGAAAACCCTGAAGCACATTGCTATTCCATCACCTAACCCCTGGCATTGCGTTGGTTACATAGCTGGAGGCAGTCAAAGTTTAATGTACATAATTACAATACACCTTTTTCTATATTGCAAGATTTCCTTGTTATAAAAAGATACTAAAAACTCATCTTAATCATTTTTCTATTCCCCAAGAGAGTTTAAAATTTTAATAGCTTCTAAGCAAGTGGATCTGAGAAAGGTTGTTTCAAAATGATTACACCAGTACTTCTTCACTGTGAGAGGTGTGACTTTTTTGGATCTAAATTGAGGTGGAAGTATGATTGAAGAGAAGTTAGAAAATTCACAGTTAAACCAAATAGAAAGGCCTAAAGCAATTCTCTGTTCTTTGTAAAATGAAGCTCCAAGGGTATTAATTTAAACAACAAAATATCTCCCCCAAATTAATAGAGAATAAAGCTGGATCTAGCCCAGTGGTGGTTGCCTAGCAACAAAGCTATGTGTTAGGAAAAGGATGGGAGTACTTCAGACATTGGGTATCACTTCAGGCATTGAGTTTCCTTGAAAAATATGAAGAAACCTTTCTGCTCTTTTCAAATTGTCTGTTTAAAGATGCCTATGATCCATACCACATGCTAGGACACTCTTCCTCTTTTTAAGTCAGATTCACATTAAAATTCAGCTCAGTTGCCACCTCTTCCATGAAGCTTTCTCTGGCTATCCCCAAAGACCCTCAGACTCTGTACCATGTCTGCTTCCTCTGCGCTCCCCTCGCCTTCTGCATTTCACTACCTTTGCTCTTCTTTAAATGTTTAGTAGAATTCAGCAGTGAAGCCACTGGGAGACCTTTTTATTGTGGCTTCAATCTCATTGCCTGTTATTGGTCTGGTCAGGTTTTGGATTTATTCGTGGTTCAACCTTGGTAGGCTGTATGTGTCTACGAATTTGTCCACTTCTTGTTGGCACTTATCATGGTGTCCATCACTTATCATGAAATCATTAGCTTGTTCATCTCTCTGTTAATGTGCCCAACCAGATTATAGTTAGGGACTGTCCCTTGCTTTTCACTGTATCTCACATGCATAATCTCATGCTTTGTAAAGGCCCTAGTACATTTTGTTGAGTGGATGGGTGGATGGATGATGAAGAAGTAAATGAACTAATGAATAAATTAGAAAATCAGACTTCAGTAAGAATATGATCTATAATCATGACTGTATTGAGGACTCTAATATGTGTAAATGTAATGGAATAACTCCAATACGTACCGCTGTGAGGGATTTTTGTGATAAGCCTGTCTCAAGTCATGTTCAGAAAAGTTTATTTGAATTAAGTCGCCTTTTCCCTATTTTCTGTTCTCTGCCCTACAGGCTGCCTGAGCAATTGTGGCTGATTCGTGAAGTGAGTTCCCATTATCATCCAATTGGCCCTGATCTCGCATCCCAAGGTAGGCATGCCTGCCTGCTTCTCCCTGCTTATTGGACTTTGCCTGTGGCTTATTGCTCTGTTTATTATAACTCAACTGCTGCCTCTCCCCTTTCATTTTGATGTGAACTATTCTTCATCTCAGGTTGGCACAAGGAAGTTTTCTTGGTGGTACTCTTGAATCCCTGTAGCTGTTAGCATCTTTATTTATGACTGTAATAACCTTAGAACTCCCCTGGATAATCCTCAAAAAGGACATTATACATGGGGCTGTTTCCTGAAGTAGAGAGCTATAAAGGGAGCTGATTTGTCATATCTAAGTCTTCATATCCAAGATTTTGAAGGCATTTTGCCTCAATAAGGGTTCTGGCAGGAAGCAGATGACACACAGCTGTGTAATTTCAAGAGCACTTTAGAAAGAGATTGTTTACCATGGCATGGTCAGAATGTGGGAACACCAAAAGAGTTTGGGTACCACCTTGGGGCTAGAAATAGGCTGGGCCTGAGTGAGAAAGGGAATGGAATAGTTACTAAAACCTAAAGAAAAATAAATGGAAAGAATGATAGCTGTTAGGAGGAATGCCAGGGTGGAAGGAGCATGCGCTTTGTTAAAAACCCATGGAGACTCTGGGGAATGCATGGCCTAAACATGCTCTTCTCCACCCCTCTGGTCTCCTGCGAAATGTGCTCCAATGCAGTGGTCCCACTGGGCAGCCTCTTGGGGAACAGAGAAGGGTGAAAAGCAGTGGAAATAGGATCTGGAAGGAGAAGTAGAAGATACACTGTACAGCCCCCAGAAGAAATGCAAAAATAATGGTGCTTGTGCATGGGAGGCATGCCTCCAATGACTTCCCTCCAAAATAATTTTGGGGAAAGTATGTTGATATTTCCTTATGCATTTTTAATTGCTCCTGAAATTTTTTGTTATCTTGTTCCTAACTGGCACTTGATCTTTACTAATTTGTCCTCTTAAAGACTATAACCCTCTACAAAAACAAATAAACACAAACCCCCTTTAGCTTCCTGTTACCTCAAGGATAATGTATGACTTGAGTGTGTTGAGCTTTTTGCCTTAGCTGGTTTGCTAACAAATCAAGGTTCTCTGTGCATGCCAGGTTACAAATATGGATCCAATGGCTTTTCTATCAGTAGAGCTAAGAAATTTAAAACCAGAATAAGCAAAAAACTTTAAGGCTCTAGAGATTTACTTCATAACTTACTTTAATTAAAGTCAATTCCTATATTAAAAAGAGACATATTTCTGATTTAATATTTTCCCTATTTTTCTCTTAAGGAGGGCATCTATAACTTTTTTTTAATAATTGAAAGTATTAGATAGGTTTCAAATCATTTGCTCTATCATCATTTCTTTGAAATCAGTCTTTCCTGTGCATACCTAGTTTATAATCTCTCTGTATGTGAGCCTGCTGATTTGTAAAAGAAATTAATGATCATGAGGTTATTTTGAAATTCAAGGAGTTAAATTGATGTAAAGGAGTTAGAGTGCTGCCTCGATGGAGCAGGTACTCAGTATGTGGTCCTTCTTGTTTGTGGACCTTCTTGTATCATGTTCTTGTAAGAACATGGAGATCAGAAGACTATTCTTATAGCAATATTCAAAAAGATTAGACCAACTAGTAGGATGATTTCTTAGGGGACAGATATGAGGTTTTACTCCAGAAGATTCAGTCTTTGGGAGTCTTTCCCTTGGGAGTTAATGATGGAATACTACAAAGCAGAATAACAAATATTTGCTTTTCCTTTCTTTTTTTGTGATTGTCCTGAGCCAGAAGAAGTAACAAATTATATGGTCATTTTGGTATTCTCTGGCTATCCTTTTGGGTATCTTGCCTGATTCCGTTATGCCTTATACATTTTAAAATGTGATTGAAGTCTCCATACTGTTATATTCCTGAGTCCAAGAAACATAAAATGAAACATCGAGTGGAAGCCTGTATTAGCTAGGATTCAGTTCAGCCATACATTTTTTTAAAACACATCAAATAACAATGGGTTAAATAAGACAAAAAATTGTATTTTCTCTCACATTCAAGATGTCTAGTTGTGGGCATTCCAGGGATGGTATGGTAGCTCCACATTTATCAAGGACTCAGGAGTATTCTCTGTTTCTGCTCCTCTATCCTTAGTATGACACTCATCCTAGAGGCCACCTTATGGTCATGAGATGCCTATTGTAGCTTCAGCCATCACGTTCAATTGGAAGGAGTAAGGGGCAAACAGTGTGGTTTCACACTGAGTGAGCCCCCTTTAAAGTGCTTTTTAAGAAGCCCCACACTTCTGCAGCTTTTGCCTACTATCCCCAGGGAAGACAAGAAATACAGATTCCATCTAGAGTTTGTCAAAAAGCCATTCACAATGTGGAGGTGCATCCACACCATCTTCGTAAGCTGACCATGTTTGAGCTATATTTGCAGTTATTTTACATAGTCGTGGGCAAACTGCACTACGTGAGCTAAGGAATCAGACCAATCTGTGTTTGAATCCTGGTTCTCTCTGAGCTTTACTAACTGGATGTCCTTGAGCAAGTCAGGTTAACTTCTCTGACTTAATTTGATCAGGTCAAATGAAGATAGTAAGAGAGCCTACTTAGGGCAGTGGTAAGGACTGAAAGAGCATATATATAAACAAGTTGTAACCCGATTAATAATTTTCAAAATGCGTACTTGTAATTTTATTTCTTTTAATTATGGTCAAAAATTGTGCCAGCCTCAACAAATGATATTTGAAAGTTGGCAACACAGCAAGCTTTCAAAGTTTCTACAATTAATAAATCAGAAACTCAAAGAGGCTAAGTAACTTGACTAAGCTTACACAGAACCAAAATACACTCCCCTCCCTCAATAAACAACAAAAATAAAGCCCAGGCCTTTCTGACTTGAATAATTGCCCTTTTTCTTTCCAAAGTACATTATCTCTTTCAAACTCAGGTTGCAATTGGCTACATAATATATACAGGTTTATGTAATAACAAACTGTGTTTTAATCGCATTTTACTTCACTGATTGAATTCACTCAGCAACTATGGAGAACTTCCAGAGATGGGGAATTAGGGCTTCAAGCCAAGACTTTAGTCTGGCTATGTCCTGGAAAAAGAAGCAGACCCTGCTGTAGCAAAAAACAAACAAACAAACAAACAAAAACCAAAAAAAAGTTTTTCTGCTCAAGGCACAAAGCCTCCTTGGGTCCTGATAATATACATACCCTTTGACTTAACTAACCTGGTTGGGTGACCAAATCCTATTATTTTCTATATTCTGATGTCAATTCAATTTGAAAAATGTAAATGAGTCTTGCTCATCAAAACAAGTTTAGGAAAAAATCTGAAAATAAATAAACGGGAAATCTGCTGTGCTAGTCATAAGTAGAGTCAGACTAATATTTTGCATTTTTAAGGAAATATTCAATGACTATAAGAGTTACATAGATGGTAAAGAGTGCCATGATAGAAAAGTCTGGGATTCTGTTAGTGCAATAAAAGGTGTGACAAAATTGACAAGTGGGAGTTGAGCAAGAAAAGCAATTTCCAAGCTGGGACCTGAAGAGTAGCACATCAACATGGCACAAGTATACATATGTAGCAAACCTGCACATCGTGCACATGTACCCTACAACTTGAAGTTTAATAATAATAAATAAATTTTAAAAAAATATGAATTTATCAAAGGAATAGTGGGTGGAAGAACATTCCTAGCAGAAGGAATAGTGTATGTCTCTGACTCTTGAGTTTTGACTTCTGGACACTTATTCCTTGATTACTTTTACCCTTACTTCTGACTCTTGCCTTGACTCTGCAAAGGCTGGCTTTTAGCCTTCTGGTAGCCCACCATCAAGCACTGAGGCCACCACCTTAAACGCCTTTCCATTGGAATTATGTCCATTGGAAGCCACTGTTAACAAACCATTCTACAGGACTGTCCTAAAGCAGAAATGGCAGCTAGGCTTCATTTCCTGTGCCAATGTTAATAGCTTTTTTGTGGCAGCCTGGACAAATCAAAAGGATACTGAGGACCAATAGAAAGTGTCTCACAATTAATTAGTGAGGTTTCCCTAGTTTAGAAACAGAGAGTTCTGACACACAGGTATTGGCATTCTTGAGTCCAACACTCTCTTCCCTGCCTTTCTATTATGCTTGAATGAAATTAGGAAAAATGTCAAAGAAGAAGCAGGGTGCAGGCCAGGAAGCACTGATGCTAATAATGCCTGGCATCTCTTGCCTGTACATATACAACTTCCGCATTAAAAATTTGGCTCCTGCTAATAAAAAGTTGTCTGTAAGTTCCCTGGGCCATCTCAATGGTCGCTTCATTTACAAGCCCTTTCAGACACCCAGCTGCTGCTCCTAATTTACTTTCTGACAATAAAACACCTGCCTCTTATGGGAATGGCTGGAGGAAGTTGAGAATACTGTCAGTAGTCACAGACTTGAGGTTGCTATCAGTCTGAATAGACTGGATGCTAGGATCCCTTCCCCATAAACACTGCCTGCTAACCCACTGAGTAACAAGCTGAAACCAGCCCAATAGTCCCATAGACAGTCATTCTGGGATAAACATAGAAATTGACCCTTCTGGTCTTAAAACTTGAAATTTCATTTGTTTTATTTGAATTCCTTCCTCAGGAAATAACTTTCAGGCCTCTTAAAAAGGTATCAAAGAACTGAAACTCACCAGATCACCACATCTAGACAATGAGATGTGGGACCGCTCATTCATCATGATTGTTTCCTTGCCCCATCCCTAGTTCCTGTTTTCTTACACATTGTTACATTTCTTTCTAAAACCCCTAGTTTTAGTCAATCAGAGAGACAGATTTGAGACTGAGCTCCTATCTACCCAGCTGCAAGGCACGGTTAAAGTCTTCTTCCTTGGCAGGACAAGTTGTCTCAGTCATTGGCTTTCTGTACAGCAAGCTGCAGGACCTAGACTGAACCCCTGGTGTTTTGGTTACAAAGCTACAGACAACAGTCTCCTGTTGTAGAAAAAATTGTATTCAAAATATTTC